TTAACATTTACTAAGGAAACGTCATGTACGTAATGTTATTGTCACATTATGTGCAATTAATTTAGAGAAAACCATGGCTTATCAAAAGGCAACGAAGCTATAATGAGCGACGTCAAGCTTAGAAAAAACTTGTTTCGAGTACCTAATGATACAAACTCTTTTTAGAACTATCTACTGTCGATACTAAACAATTTGTTTAGATTATTATATTTGTGAATATAATAATCAGATTTCAGTGGATAAAATTCATTTTTCACAATTTATTCAATCAATTACTGTTAAGTTATTTTTAAAAAATATTGCGATCATACAGATGCTGGGTGAGAGCAATTCTGAACGTTTTCATTCAACGAAACGAATTTTTGGACATATGTTTTGAATGACTATCGAAATTGACTGTTAAGACAGTCTACAAAATAAGTCAATCCCTTAAGTTATCATTTTCATGTACTAACTACCTGTGGGTTTCCAAATTGTCAAGATAAAATAAGAGATATAAAACATGGATTGTCCAGGTGACCAATAAACGACATGTTATTTATTTTACTTATCGAATTAAAATCGGAAGGCATTTGAAAATTTCCGCAGAACCAGGTTGCCCAATGCCTTGCCAAATGCGCGCGTCACGAATCGGGCATAAATAAAGCATAACGTCGACAAAGCCAATGAAGAGAGGCAATAAAAGTGTATTAAAGCGATTAAAATGAAGCAGCTTGCGGACAAGTTAATGGCGATATCATTATTGCGCGCGCGTTACTCACTGGCAACAACACTGTGGGGGCAATGCATTAATCTCCCGCGGCAATGCATCACGCTGGACTTGTATATATGCTCTTTCCGCGCACTGCTTTACGGACTGCGACCTGCGCGCGCTCGCTCGAGGGCCTCGGCGAAATAAGGAGATGTCGAGCTGCGCGCGCGCTCGTACCACCGGCCAGTCCAGGGCTTGATTCAACTTGTATGCTCCTGACGAAAGAAATCGCCTGCCTTCGCTTCACGAGTCCAAAATATTATGCCGGTATTCAGCGAATTGCTTTCGATAATTCAGTGTACGTATGCACTTGCTGCTGGTAATGAGCTATCCGGCGATGTAATGTGTAATGCGTATAGCGACCGTTAGGATTACATGTTCAGGTACTTGCAGCTTTAGTGCAGTTTAGCCACGGCTCAGGAGCTGCTCTATTGATTGGTAAATATTAGATAACGGCTTTGCATAATAGTGTTGGATATTGCTGTATAGCTAACTGATTAGTGGCTCCCACTATTGCGCCTGTGTTTCCACTGCATATATATGGCTTTTCACATGCAGTCGACCCTATTCTCCGGACATCCAATGTATTATTTCAAACGAAAAGCATTAAATTCACGGGAGAGCACGTTCTACTAAAGGAACAAGGAGACAAAAACATATAAAAATAATTGTATCACGCTCATCAAACCTCATCATCGGATCTCCTTATTGTACATGAAACGCTCCTCGCCCTCGGATCATTCACGCCAACAATATAAATCGCGTGATTCAAAATTGAAACGAACTCAGGAACCCTCTTGCCGTACGTCAAGTAGTAGTGAGTTGGTGAAGAGGGAGGGGGGGGGGACAAGAGAATAAAAGTGCACGCATTGTTCTTAAAGCCGCGCACTCGCCAAACAATCGAGAGACGTTATGTAATTTATATGTACGTGTGTGTGTGCGCGCGCGTGTGTGTGAATTCCTTCTTTCTCCCCGACCCTCATTGTCGGCTGGTGCAAACTTTGAGACACGAAAGAGAGAGAGAGAGAGAGAGAGAGAGAGAGAGAGAGAGAGAGAGAGAGAGAGAGAGAGAGAGTTGTTGAGAGCGCATTGCCATGTATTATTCAGCCCCGGATATTTTACCCTTGAACGCTCTAACGCTTCTCGGAGAGAGGCGAACTTGACGCGATGAGGGAGAGCCGATGAAAATATTTTGCGCTTGGCAGTATAGAGAAGATAGAAGGGAAGACGATACACGCCCTGATCACTGATGCGCGCAGCATAGCTTGTTTTGTTTTCCGTCATTTTCATTTCCATCGACCATATATACGTAATTGGAAAATTAGATTGGAAAGTTTTCTTTTTTTTTTATGGAAGATAAGTGGATTACAACACCGAGACCCGTTCAATGAGATTTCCATGTCTAAGACGGTTTTACATGGAATATTGATCGCACAGTTGGGAGTGAGCAAGTGGCCGACTAGACATTGATGCGCACCACTGATTACTGCATAATTTATATCCATCCGCTTCCTATAACCTGATCAACGATTCACGATATATCTCTGCGCCGTGTCTTGTTCGGCGTACAAACGAACGAAGACTTGGACAAATTGAATCGCATCAACCGACTTGCATTCCAATCCGATATCGAATAATTACAATTAAAATTTTTTTTCAAATTCGAAATCGACATTCAGTCAATTATGACGACAAGCCTGTACTGACTTCCTATGTGGATTTAGCCTGACCATTGATTAAATTAGTAGGCCAACGCAATTGCAAACAGTAATCATATCAATAAATCAACAATAGATATTATTATTATAAATAGTCCAAATCCAATCAATTCTACACAATCACATCACGTATATCGAAATGGCTGGATAAATAATCTAAAGAACAATAAAACCACTACTAATGTTTATGGTTCGTTCATCGGATTACAAATAAAACATTTACGTATTTGTAAATAATTTTACTTTGAAATATTTCATGAATATTACAGTGCGGGCGTAACTATTCCTCTGACAATAAGTGAGTACCGAACATTGTTATTGTTTCGTATAGAATATATTCTGTATTAAGTAATCTCTCTCGTAGATATCAATAACATTAACTAATCTATTTCCGTGGTCCTGGATGATAAAAACTAACTGAAATTTTTATGCACCTGCGTATTACGAAAACCTTAGGCTATTTGCTTTCATCAAAAAGAAAGTCATAAAAGTAATCTCGATTAATAAAATTTCCAATTAATAGAGTGTGCGTTTGATATAAAAAGATGTGGGCGCTCGGACCCATTGTTCCCGATCGAAAATGAACTTGTTCGACTATAAATTGTAGAAATAGTCGGAGCTACGTGCAGCTTTGCGTAAAAGACAAAGCTTTATTCGAAAAAAAATTGCTTCGCCAGTAAAGCGCTCGGGGATTGCAGGCTTATTAAAATCCAACGTATAAAAGGGGATCGAAAGACGATAATTTTCATTTGGATGTCACCAGCGTGGCAAGGAACAATGAGCGTTTGCGAAAATCTTGAGTAGAGGACCACGTGAAAACTCGCAGATAAATTCACTCGAATAAGGTCCGTGCGCACTTTACTTCTTGCTCCGTGATGCATGCAGCTGCTCGAGCACAAGCTACCAATGGTAATTAGTCTGCGCTCGTGCGACCAGTAGATGCCGCGTAATCTTATGCGCTGAGACGACTACCGTGCAGTCTGCCGAGAAAGTAATTCATTAAGCACGCCGCACTTTCTCGTAATTTAAGTGCGCGCGGATGGATTGCCGCGAAGACATTCAACTTCATTTTTTGATGCATTGTTAAAAATATAAGCGTTTTTTATATAATAGTTCAACTACATGATAATTCTTGTAAATTTTAGGTAAACTTAAGAGTAACATAGCGAACATCTTATTTGAGATTCATAAACGTTATAAGCACTTACGTCTGCATCAAAATCGAGTTCATCGTGTGTCATGCAATTCAGCCTTCAAATTTTCCAAGTTTCTGGGAAATTAGTTGAGCGTAAAGCAAATTAATCTCGGAAGCTTTACCGTACTCGGCGCTGCCTTGCGTAACAATACGAATATGAGCGTTTCAACTTAAAAACGTTCAAGACGTTTTCGTTCTTTTTTCTCTTATTTGCTTGACAGCCATTACTGAAATGCATTTGGAAAATGACAATCAAGCAGAAAGGACGTTCTTTCTTGTTTTACGGGAAATGACGCTCCGTCTCCGGCTTTCATTTTTCGTTTTCTTCGCTAGCGTACTTTTCCTCTTGCCCTCTTATTTACGTATTTATGGCGTAGTCTTTTTTCTTCACCGCGCAAAGAAAGGAAAGTATTTTAATTTTGCGTTAATGAAAATGAATTACGCTGGCTTGCCGTCGTTTGCTAAGCGCCAGATGTTACGCTACGGAGATAAAACTTTTATGTTGGCTTGTAGGCAAAGTATACATAGTATTACTAAATATAAAATTTATATATAACTTTTAATTCTTTTGAAAGCTTTTCAAATCTTTATGTTTTTAAAGCTTTTTAAAGGCTGATATATTCAATTTTTGAAAGGACATTTTTTGCTTTCAGTCGGATATTTTCCGAAAATCACGCAATGGAAATTTTCAAATAAATTGATAGCCCTTTTTTACAACTGTTTAGAGAGTATTCAACAACTAAAAATTGAATTTCAACAGAGCGAGGGGCGTTGAAATTAATTGCAAATATTTATTTTAGATAACATTTAAGTGTGAGCTTTTTGTCAGAAAAGTCAACAGTTTTTGTAACTGTCCGATTGATTCATTCAACTGGTTTATTCGTTTTATTTGCGTCGAGGTGCAGCATTGTAGCAGGCTAACGCGTAAACGTGATTTCTTTGATAAAACATTTTCGCAGCAAAAACAGGCATCCACTTCGATCGTTTGGTCAAAAGATACAAATAATTGCCGTAACATTCAATAACATATCAACGTGATATGCTCAAAATACAGAATATCAGGTATCCACGAGTAGAGAAAACTATAAGAAAAAAGCTGGCGAAGGAATCATGACCTGGTAATCGAACGACAAATAACAGATAAGCTTGGTGCGAACGTAGTAACTCACGCAGCACTTCTCCCTTTTTATGAACGAGCAAACATCACGCGGCTGTACAACGGAAAGAGCAAACGACTAATTAAAGTAGAGCGCCGTGTCATTTTTCTATTTATGGTGCCTTCGCCGAGGCAAATATTCCAGCAATTGAGTTCAAACGCGCGTATTCCCGCGCGGCCGCAGTTTGATTTCGCGCCTCGACTCACTCGAATTCTGAAGCTTCAATCATTTCGCCATTGCCGCGCCCATTGTGCATCCTGATAATTCGTTATTCTCTTTTTGATTCATCTTCAAAAGTGAGTGTAGTGAAATACACATTTATATCTGTTACATCGTGTCGAACTCTGTTTCATCTGCTACATTAATATTTCAATTAATATTGTCTTTGTTTCACGGCGAAAATGCAAAATAAAATATAATTGACATTTGAAAATACAAAAGACTGAAAACATATTTTCAATACGTAAATAATTACGTTTTTTCCGTGAACATGTGTTCTAAAAAAAAAAATTAAATAGGTCTATTTGTATTTTTAAGTTCCACAGCTTATTGTCTCACAGTGTATTAAAAAAGGTGAAATACAAGTACTATTTTATCTACTATTCAATTTAAGGTAACTTTTTAATAACAAAATTTTTTTTTTCAAATATATGTCACAAATAGTCAAACAAAAGATACAACATGTATAGTCATCGCGAATGACATTATAATTGTCGTGAATAATGTTGAAGCTCTAAACTAATAAGATTATTATCGTCGGTATCACGATTTTATCTTATCGCGCTACAGTGTACATATCACACAAACGGTGGATTTTACATTGGCGAAACAAAGAAGTATGTCGTAATGTTAAAATTCTGTGAAATTCTTTTCTTTACAGCAGATGTAGTGTATGCTATAGTGATAAATTTCCATTCCACGAGTAAAGCGAAGGAGCTTGCATGTGAATCAATCGTGGAAAATCAATGCCAATCACGATGAAATGTGAAAAATATTACGTTCATTCTGCATTGATTTTTGCGGCAACGTTGTGCGTTATTTTCGCTCAGGACCATGAGCCACAAGTGAACATGACATTTGGCCAAGTGAGCGGCATTTGGTTAAAGACAAGAGACGCAGACGTTGCTGGCTTTCTTGGACTTCCGTACGCTCAACCGCCAGTCGGAGATCTTAGATTTGAGGTAAAATATTCTTAAAGGCAAACAGTTGTATAATTAATCATTCACTGCTGAATAGAAATAAAAAAACAAAAAACATTTTTATGATAATATCGCGTTGTCAATAATCACAATTTTCAAAAGCTATTATACATTCGCTGAACGAAATACATCATTCGCGTTATAATTAATACTCAATTAATTTCTGTTTAAATCTCAAAAGATAAATACATTCCATTTATTAAATAAATTACAGTAGAGTAAACGTTATGACATGTTATAATTATATTAAATCGCCAACATAGTAACTAATTGCCAACATAGCTAACTGAAAGTTCCGGTTCATCATTTTCGACGAGTTCATTTTTTTCGTATTAATTTTTAGAGAATACGTATCCTTCTTTTAGAATCCTCAGCCATGGATTAAAAAATGGAACCATACAAGAAATGCTACAAAGGATGGGTCAATGTGCTTACAGGTTACAGAAAAAAGGATAGTGGTCGGAGATGAAGATTGTTTGTACCTTAATGTATTTACACCCACCGTAAGTACCATTTTGACTATTTTTCAATAACTACTGTATCAATTTTCTATCAGAACTACTAGTTGCTTTTTTCAATGGAATTGAATCTTGATTTTTCTGTCTAGTGTAGACATTCTGCCTATAATTATTGAAGCTTTTTTTTTATTTGTCGTTATAAGTTATCAAGAAGCACACTTTTGCACAATTTTGATACTCAATGTATTTTGATAAACCTTTATATGTATATTAAGTCATGTTGGAAGGTAAGTAAACATTTTCCTCCAAACTATGCACAAACGTCATATTGTTTTTTCTAAGGAAGTATACCGTTATAGAACCACTAACATTGTCTCTGTTTTTGTTATTGATACTGCGAACACGTAAACTTAACAAAGGAATATAATTTGAGATATCTGTCACGCTATCGAGAGATCACGGCGCTGACAAGTAATAGCGACCTAAGACCAGTAAATTTTAGCACTAAACAAATAAAAGTAAATTGCTAACAAGCCGCTTAACGGCAGTGACAATAATCATATCGTGAAAGGCCTTTCTAATTGATGCACATGTACCGAGCGGAAGGTAACATTTAAATAGAGGCAAATGGTTCAAGCGCCTAACGTGTCCTCGGTCTAGAATAGCGCGCGGAGTGGGCGTTTCACCGCGCGCGAAACCTTAGCTTGCCGAACCATGAAACGCGATCCAACGCAATGCGTCGAAACACAAGCTCGATTGTTCAGTGGGGCCGTTGCACACAAACACGCAAATTGATAAAAACGACAGGAGAGCTCTATCTTTACTGTCAGATAATGCTAGCTGACTTCCCTTTTTATTTTTGGATTGCGCATACGTGCAATTTAATCGAGAAATTGATCCAAAATTTATTTCCAAGTTCATGACAGTTGCAGTCATTTCATAGGTCTTACTTTTTTTAACCATTCAATTTTTATACATTGCAGATAACCAAAAATCAGAATATAACCGCGCGTAAGAAATTATCGGTGATAGCATTCATACATGGTGGTGCTTTCAACGAAGGAAGCAGTAACAGCACTCTCTACGCACCAACGTATTTGTTGGACCATGAAGTAGTTCTTGTAACGATGAACTACCGCTTGAATGTATTTGGTGAGCCACATGTACCACTGAGCGAATTTACAACTCAGTAATTTAACACTTAAGTGTGGAGGGGCTTCATAATATCATTTACAAATCTAATAGTGAATAATAATAATAATTACGCTCGAATTGCCATAATGTAATTAGACTGAAACTTCCCGTGGCTTCATATTGTATGCATCTTTCATCCAAAGGCGAAAATTTATATAAAGAGGCACAATGCGAATGTATTTTCATTTGAATTAGCGAGTGAAATTTGCGACGGGCCAGTGAGTTGAACCGCGTGTCGGCAGGTTTCTTTAGCACCGGAAACGACGTCACGCCCGGTAACTATGGGCTCAAGGACATTGCAATGGCACTCAGGTGGATCCATGATAATATCGAGATTTTTGGTGGCGATCCAAACTCCGTGACGCTTCTTGGGCTGAACTCCGGAGCCGCTTCTGCTCATTTGTTGTCTGCTAGCAAATCTACCGAAGGACTTTTTCAGAAGGTTTGTCATCTGCTTTTATACTAAGTAGGAAAGTTACATCGAAATATTAGTAAACGAGATGGGAACCAAAAGCCTTTTTGCGGACAAAGTTTAATTTTTTTCGGACATTTCAACAATGACAGTATCTTCGGAAATGACGAGTAATTACAACGAAGAATTTTTTTTCATATAGTTGATCACAATGAGTGGTTCGGCAACAGCGCCTTGGACTTTTCACACTCGAGACAGAATAAGAAATGTATCCATGACCGTTGCATATCGTTTGAATTGTCACAATACTACTGCCGATTTCGAAGAATTAGGCAGCGGGGACGAAGAAATCGAAACAACGACAATCATTCAAGAAACCGTAGACAACACAGAGAACGACCGTCGAATTGTGGAGTGCTTGAAAAGAGCCGATGCAAATGACATTATTTTGGCAGGACAGCTCGTAAGACTGCTTCAAGTACACAATTCGCGATGATAATGCGATTGAAAGAAAAATTAATAAACGTAGTTTCGTCAGTTCGCTAATTATTACCTGGGATATATCGATTCTCATCGATACTCGAAATTGCACACCCGAGCTAATAGTTGCAGACCCTTCTCACTTTACAACCCTTCGCGTCATTAACAATAATTGCACGCACGCACTCTAGCGATCGCAGCATTCGAGCCGGCTTTCGAACCCGATCCGATCTATTAATGTAATCGTGCATATGTATGTATATAGTTTAAGTGGCGGCGCAATCCGGTATGTGTTTTTGGACCAACGTTGGAGGCAGAAGCCGAGGGTGCAGTCTTGACGGTGCATCCGACGCAAGCGCCATATAGGGACATGCCTTGGATAACTGGAGTCACAGATGATGAGGGTCTGCTCAAAACCTCCGGTAAATAATGCACATTATAATCCTATATATTCGCATCCTGCTGTCAAAAGCATGTGTACGTATATATACGTTAACATTAGTCGAAGATCTCATTAGATTAATAAAGCTTATTTTCTTAGTTTCGTTATTAGTAGACTATATGGATGAAATCCGGTTTCATGATGTATTGCTACATAATTTCTACCTTATTTCTTTATTTTTACAAAGAATATCGTTCAATTACCGTTTATTCTTCCAATCGACTATTTATTTTTACTGTTGATCTATTACTGTGGTCGTTGTTATTATTATTTATATCGTGTGATTGCATTAAAAATGTTAACATCTTCTTTTTGCATTGATTTTTAGATCTTTATCTATCTGAACAAATAAAAGCTGAGCTTGTGCAGAATTACGATGATTACCTTTTGCCATACGTACTCGAAATGGAGAACGTTGTCAGCAATATTACGACAGCCACTCAGGCTATTACCAATTTTTACTTCAAAGGTGACGCCACGGCCAATCTTATCGAAAACCTTACTCAGGTAGGGCACAATTTATGTAAATCCATATATCATTTAGTTAACTTTGATTTAAATTCGAATTCCATGATTTGGATTAAAGCCAAACACTGCTGTCCCGTCATAATTGAAGGTAAACGCAAATTCCCAGCCACATTGTTGTTAAAGAACAATTGTGTTTCGGTTGTGCGTAAATTTCATGCAAGTAATCTTGTTTTATATTTATCAAAACATCAGTACGCGAATCTCATTTGGCGACATTATTGTAGCTTGCGAAACTAGAATTAATAATTTCATTGCAAATGCTACACATACATCAGCGAGTGCTTCAATAATCGACGCGAATGCTATTCAGTTGCCGTAGATTGCCTATGTATATATGCGATGTCATGATTGACAAGATTGCTTCTTGTCGGACCGATTGATAAAATATTTGTTACAGGCGTTCGGAGATGGCGCAATAACCTGGCCAACCTACGATAGTCTTCGGAAACAAGCTAAAAATATGAAATCCAATGTATATTTCTACCTATTCGGATATAAGGGATCATTTAGCAACACTTTTAGACCAGATGCACCGATAGTTATGGGTAAGAAATACGAGATCATTGGTCGTCTTAATAGAGTTAAGCTATTCGTAAAATGTTATTCTTTGTAATTAGGTGTTGCCCATGGTGACGATCTGAACTATCTTTTCCCATACTTGAACGTGAAATTCGCCGACTTCCATATTTCGAACACATTAGACGACACAACGATGATCAACATTATGAGTGAAATGTGGACGAATTTCGCAAAAACAGGGTTAGTATTTTTTTTTTTTCGCACCGTCCATAAAGAAAGAGAGCTCTGGAAAGCTCACAGACATGCAAGCTATAGTATATTCAAACATAAGGGTGACTGCACGTTGGCTTACCAATGCAATACCCGCAAAATCCGCAAAGCCGGGGGAGGGTTCGCGACCTCTCTCAACTTAAAGATCTCGGTGCTTGCGTAATCCGCGACATTGCTTATTCACGTGTGTCGTTGCAGGGAGCCGAGCGCCAGGCTCACGTCCACCTGGGAGCCTTATCAGAAACACCATAGATACATGAGAATTGGCGACGGCTCGAGCAGCCACGAAACTATGCAAGTCAACTTTTTGTCCGAGAGAATGGCATTCTGGGCTGATTTTGCGAAAAAATACTCGGCGCCGATCGAAGAGTATCGAGTTGGTGGAGAAAGCCAAAACAGCGAAACCGGTGGCAAAGATAGCGATAAAAGTAGAGCAGGTGTTGCTGCAGTTCGAGCTGGACTTCCGCTATTGCTAAGTGTAATACTGTGTTGGAGAATGACGTTTAGTTTTTTGTTATGATGCAATAAGAAAAGAAAATCTATTTATTTAAAATGTATATAATTACGTCGAAATTGCGCCGAAAGGGGCATTTATACGATTGAATGTTTCATGATTATTAATTAGTCGCATTACCGATGCATTCTACGCGCGTCGAGGCTTTTTTCCCTCTCTGTCGGGTTTTCCATTGAGCGTCATTTGCTCTAAACTCGAAAGGGCGCGCGACGGCCGGCGCATCGCTGCGGGCAGGCGGAAGGGGAGAGGACGAAAACAATTATTCGACTGCTCCGCAAACACGTGCAAGCCTCATCAGAGTTGACTTATTTGTCTATGCAAATCGTCAATCAACGGGCCACAGAGACGGAAAGCTCATTGGATGCGGCCTACGTGTGTAGGTCAGCGCGCAATGCGTATACACAGCGTTTACGTGCAGACGACTGCCGTCGGATAACTGTTTTACCTGTTTCGCTACGTCCCTCTGCTTTTTCGAGCTGCTGTTCCCGTTGCTGCTGCTGCTGCTGCTGCTGCCGCCAATGCCTATTGTTTTTTGCGCTGCTTTTGTTGCGCGGCGAACGTGTGTTTGATCTTCGCTGCAAGCTCGTTCGCAAAAACTATTTTTATACCCGGACGCCTCGACACGGTCGAGTGAAGGCTTTTGTTTTCGGATTTCATCGCGCGCAAAAGGATTTTTTTCCCTCTCGAAAGATTCTAGGCTCTTTGCAAGCTCCAAGAGCTCGGCAATTGGCTGTAGTGAAATGAATGTTTATGAGCACAGCGCATTTGGCTTTGAAAGCGATTGAGCGGATAAAATAAATGCAAGTTATCAGAGTTGTAAACAGTAGGCGAACTGTTTATTTCCTCGACTTGTCGCCAATGAGCTGTTATTCTGCAAGCAATGGAGACTGTATGAAATGTCTAAGGCGCTAAGATGTTACATTCGTACAGCTTGATCGAAATCATTATCCTTTTACGAAATTTGATCTTTAACAAGATGCAAGAGGTCGTCCAAATAAAGAAAACCGTTATAACGTCATAATATATCTCGTCGTCGGCACTGGCATGACAAAGACGAGCAAGGTGCACGCGACGCTACTGTAGCAGCAGCAGCAGCAGCAGCAGCAGCAGCAGCAGCAGCAGCAGCAGCAGCGAGTCAAGCGGCGAAAGTCAACAGACGCGTGGAAGACGGGCATATCCGAAATAAGCTGGCAAGCAGGCGCTCTGTGTGCAATATAGTCGAGCCTTGGTACAATGCACTAATGCGACACATTGTTCGCGAGCCTCGGGAAAAATTGGCCCTCGTTATGCCTCACAATAGCGCGCTCCAACTTTAGTTGGTAAAGACGTGAGTCGCAACTTTCTCTCTCTCGCAAACGGCGAGACGGTGTGTGCAAACAGATTTTCCAAGTGGCCTTATTGTTACATTATGCACATAGATTTATCAATTTCGGCGCTCGCGGAATTGAGTTTGGAGTTTGGCCCCGTCCTTGACCCTCCCCTCTCTTGGGATCGCACGTTCGCGAATCGCGTTAAGTTGGTTTTAACCTGTAATCCACTTATCTAACGATTGGACCTCGTCATTGGCAAAGTGCTGTTAGCGCACGTGCGCTGAGTTGCGTTCGAACGAAAGAATGCCGATTATATTTTGTGAGAAATGCAAGGCAAACGAAGATTGACTGGCGCGTACAGGTAAGCGAGTAAATTAATGAAGCGCAGAGTATACGGCAAATAAAGACGAATGAAAAGGAGAAAAAAATACTTGATAGACTGTCCATCAAACTTGATCTGCCTGTAAAACTTTAAATAGTTTTCGATCAGAGAAAAACAGTACACAGAGAACTTGTAACTGAACCACAATCGGGAAAAAAATATCGGCAGGGCGTCCGTCACACGCAGCGCATTCCCTTCCTCCAAACCAATATTTTCATTATTTTATCCATGCATAATGATCGAAATAAGCGAACAGAGTAATAAATGTACTATACACGAAATATCAATAATTAGCCGTTATATCTAAAACTAAACAATCGGACGTGCACTGGTTGGAGTGCTGAAAATACACATACGCGCAGTGTGTATATACAATAGTGGCAAGAAAACATCGAGTGCATATGCGAATGTCAGAACCTTTAGGACAACGCCTCGCCGAGTTGAAGGTACTTAAGCCGTCATGTGCTGTCAGAGTAGTAGCTGCAGTGCACCATCGTCGCCCAGTTTTCTCTCTCTCTCTCTCTCTCTCTCTCTTTGTCTCGCGATTCTCGCACACAACGCCCACGTCTGTGCATACTTAAGCCGAAATAAATAGCTCTATTCTCGGTGTAAGCTCGTGTAGCTTATTGATTTACTCAGAGAAGAGAAGACCCTTGGAGTCGCAAACTCGTAAATTGCCTTTGTCTCACGCGGTGATCCAAACACACGTACTCTTTGCATACATCGCACGAGAGCTTGTGCAGCGCTCGTTAGTATGCACCTGTTGGTTACAGGCGCGACTGAGCGTGTACCGCGGACTCGAGCTTGTCGGTAAATATAAATCATCAGCCAAATCCTTTGACCATAATCCCGGCCGGCGATCGCGCTCCCGCCACTGACTATGTATATGCTTGGCACTTGTACAGCTTTCTACTAATTCGAGTCCGACGCTGCTGGTCGCTTCATTCGCATGGAAAAAAATTGTCGCTCGTCCAATCTACCGAAAGCCCATTGATCGTCGCGATTATTTTCCTCTTGCCAACTTCTATTCTCACCAGATGTAAGCGGAACATTCGTTAACTCATTCAAAGACGCAGTGGTATGACAGTTGTTTTTTCTATACAATTGGCGCGTGCGTATTGTCGCATCGACGAAATATAACTTTACGCGCGAAATCGCAGAATTTTCGTTATGTATAGCGCGAAGTCGAAATGGAAAATTTGCAAAACAATGGCGAGGCAAAATGACTCTGCTCGCGAAAATAAAAAAGAGAAGAAAAAAAAACTGCCGTGCATTCAATTGCTTGCCGTACACCATCGACAATTCTTTCTCTCGCGCTTTGCTATATCAGGTCTATTTCACTCACTGATACACGTGGATACCCTCGCGTGCACAAGCACAAATGATATGTAAAGCCACGCACGCTGGCTGGCGTTTTCGCGACAAATTCAAATCTGTGCTGCAGGATTCGCTTCGTCGTCGCGTAGCTCATTCTCTCTCTCTCTCTCTCTCTCTCTCTCTCTCCCTCTCTTTCGCTCTTTCTCTCTTTCTCTCTGGGGATTATTCCAACTAACATTGATGGCCCACAGCAGAAACGAAAATTTAGATGGAGGTGCGCTTGCGATATTTTTTAGTATTTTTATCCCCGAGTCCGGTGTCAGAAAAACAGCTGCAACTATTCCGGGTTTTGTGTAGTTAATAGTTACTGTCGACTACTTTTGTCGGTATTATAACTGTGTCGACGTATTTTATTGTAAGCTGTTTATAACTCAGATTGTAACATTTTTAACATTGATAACTTCTGATTATGGTTGGAAGTTGAAAAGTAGCTTATCGTAAAGCCGCTTGGAAGCTGCTAAATTGGCTATATTTTAGTCTTGTTTGTTATTTTGGAAACTGCAATTTACTTATTGAATTATGAAATGCGATGAACCGATCTTTAATAAAAAAGATTTTGGTAACGCGGAAAGGAATAGTTTACGGTAGAATAAACAGACGTTCAACAAATGCACTGTAAGTCGAATAATATGATGATAAGCTTAGATGTCGCGAACGTGAAATTAGATACCACGCAACTGTATGTAAAACATTTGAACTGCTCTGCAATTTGAATTAAACTTACAGACTGTATTGCGAACGAGTTCGACCCGTTACGAATCAGCCAGCGATTCGGTGGTTATTCAGTTTTCACTTTCGTAGCTATCTTCGTAAACTTGCTCTTGCTCGTCATTTTTCAAAGCACTCGAAGCAAGCGAATAAGCTAGATAGAGCAATCAAAATGAAGTTGAATTCAGTTGAAGCACGTTGGATTCTTAAATTTGCAAATTTTCTTGTATAAATAACAATGAACTAACCAGAATTTCCGTCGATAATCAGTATCGTATAACAAGAAGTACAGTTCATTAATTAACAATCTCTTGCCGCCCACTTGGCTACGGTGAGAGCTAGCGGCTGTTGACATGCTTGGCCGCTATGATGTCCAGCTATTATTAATAAGCCGAAATACGGGTCGCCTTAGCAACGTGGGCTGTGTACCTGATAGAACGAGCACTCCTCTTCTCTTCGTCATATTTACGCGAATCCAGCTAGAGCTTTGACGTAGCCTGTACTTGCTTTCAAAGCCTTTGTCGCCGGCCGCTCTCTCGTTTAATTACGCGACTTGAAAAGCCGTACTCGCCGCGCATTTCGCTATTCGATCCTCGATTAGCAGGTGTTTGCCCTTCCCTCCCGAAGCTTTCAGATTAAAGTATACGCTCGCCGCTCGCGCTCTACTCTAGTTTGTCCAGCCCAATCGAATTCCCAGCTGGCGCGCTTTATTCCCGGATTTCCTTTTATTTGGCCCGTTGTCTTGCGCGAAATTAGACAAATTTGCCATCGGCGAACCCGAGCCACGGCGCCAACGGTACGCGTATTTCGGTCGATGCAAAAATTGAAGGTATATTCGTTGGAGCGATATTACGAAAACAAATGTCAATCACTGCTCGTATTTTGCTATTGTCTTGTGCGCGCCTGTGTAGCGTCAACAATGGACTGCTAACAACGGCTGATCAAGTTCGTTTTCTCTTGTTCTGATATCGTCTATATAACTGCGCGCGCCATATGTATAACAGCATTACCCCTCGCAGCGTTGCATTAGCGATGATTGCTTCTGTCTTTCAGTCAACAGGATTTTCATTTAGTTTTCAAACCGGCAGCGCCAGAAGCACTTTTGCCGTGCTCCCGATGCTCCCGATATACCTATATAGTCACTTCCGCGGCTAATTGATTTTTCAAGAACTGCACCGTGTCCCGCCAAGCCAATTCAAAGTTTATCTAGATACTTTTGTTGATTTGCAGTGTCGAGTTGTCGACGCGCGATTGCGTTTTCGCGTGAAATTCGGACGAAATTGT